CATGCCAGACGAGCGCGCTACCGCTTGAGCCGCATCCCCAGCCCAGACACAGAGACTATGTAAGGAACAGAGAGAAGTCAGCATGGTAGGGATATGGATGAGGCCTATTTTAAAAAGTTTAAGACCCTAGACAATTGGRGAGGGGAACGAAGGAGTTTAAACTGAGGAATGATTGATGCATGTCTCCTTTTACAACATAACTGACTTTGGAATGGAGAATGATTACTAGGAAAGAGACCAGAGGTAGAAAAATCATCAGGAGGCTGTTGCCTGCTGAAGCCCAAGCAAGAGCCGAGGGTGGCTTGGATGAAGGCGGTGGAGAGAGAGAAGTGGATGCATTCCAAAGATATTCAGAAGGTAGAAAGAACTTGGTGATGGATTACATGTGGGATATGAGAGAGGGAGGAAGCTGGGAGGAGGCCCAGGTTTCCGACTTGGTGACCGGGTGGGTGGTAATGCCATTCACAGGGAGAGTAAAGATGGGAAGCAGGTGGGGAGTAGGAGTGAGGGGTGCAGGCTGGAGCGTGTTGAGTCTGAGGCAAGAGCGGGGAGGCAGTTGTTCTCAAGACCCATTTGTTTCTTAGAGTCCACCTGGGTATCCACCCCTTGACCCCTGCCCTCCTGCCCTCTCTGATGGTGAGAGTCTGGGGTGGGGTCGGAGAACAAGCACAGTCCATCAACGTCCAAGGGCTGCTGACCACACCTGGACAAGCCTTCACTTCCCTGCCAACAGTGGAGTCATACCTGATGAGGTCTTCTACCCCAACCTGCCCCTGCAGGCTCGAGCTCTTTCCCACCCGTCCCAGCCAAGCCTGTAGATGCCTCCACTGCCAGCTGATTTCCCACTTGACTTCTTCCGGTCTAGACCTTAACCCTTCTCTCCTTGCCCAGCCCTTTCCTGGCCAGCAACTCAGAACTCCTGTTACCCCTTACCCTCACCTCTCAGGAAGAATGCCTGCCCCTTCCTCTTTCCCTTCTAGCTTCCACCTAGGGCCCTGCCTCTGAGGACAAAGGACGGGGTGCTCCAGTGTCACCCCCCTCCAGGATCAGTTACTGAATAATTAATGAGCCATTAGGAGAAAGAGCCCTGGTGAGACAAGGGGCAAGATCTGTGACCAAAGACTTGGAGCTGGTGGGGGAACCCTATGGCCCGCTGACCCATGATTTGGCCCTGGACTGCCTCTGGGCTCAGGACAGGCTGGGAGCGGCCTCTTTCCCCAGGGACCTTGGCTCCGACCTCGCCCCTCCCCCCAGCCTGCAGATTGGATAAGCTTGCCCTGTGCTCCGCCTCCCACCAGTAACCAAGCAGTGGTAACCATGGTGACGGGGCGGGCTGCGGCCAGTCTGTAGTGCCAGGCAGGGGGAAGGGCAGCAGCAAGAAAGGGACCAAAGTTCAGAGCTGGACCTGGGTAATAAGGGACAAATTCCCCCCCCAACCCCCCACAGACACACAGACACACAGACACACACAGACACACACACACACACACACACACACACACAGAAGGATGGTGGAGCTCAGCTTCCTGCTGGCCAAGTAGCAAATCCTCCCCCAGTTTCCAGGGCTGAGGGGCTTGGGGGAGAGAGATGCCCTTTGCCTGGAAGGTCCCTAGTACAAAGGGGAGGAGGAGCTCAGCACTTCCACATTTGGATCCTGAGGGCCTAGCCCAGGGGAAAAACTTTGGGTGGCTCTGGCTTCTAAGTCCTCCCTGGGACCTGAAGAGACACTTGGCATCCCATTCACACATCCATTCACACTCCCTGGCTGTCCCCACCTTCTACACTGATCCCAGACATGGCTCATACTGCACCTTCTACACATATCTGCTGTGGTGGACATAGCGCATGCCTGGGCACATCACACAAAGACCACATGAATCCAGGACATGTCTCACCCTGGCCCCATAAAACAGAATCACGCTTAGACACGCCCCACCCCATGGTGCCTAGGGGATACATGGGCACTCTACAGGGTGCTCCCAGGAAGCAGCAGGAGCCAGGTACATCTTAGAGGTTCTCCAAGCAGGGGTCTCTCTCTAGGACAGAGGGTCTAGAGAGGTATCTGGCCATCCTGTTCTCCTAGAAGCTGGTCCTGTCTCATTCCAGAGACCTGCTAGGAGGTACGTCACCTTTCACCCTGGAGATATGAATCTTGAGGGGTCAGACTTACTGTCGCCATGGGCACCTGCCACCAAACCAAGCATCACCAGCGCGGGTACAAGGGGCACCATCGTCCTCCCTGGGGTTGGCTCAAGGGCCATCCAGGGCTCTAGCTCCACAGCCAGCTGCGATCCAGGAGAATCCACCTATATGAAAAGAAAAGCAAAGCCACTTAGCTGGTATTCATCAATGTCCCTACTGTCTACCCATGCTGCCTCCTGGTCCCTACTCATCTTCACTGCCCACCAAAGCCTAGTTCACAGACCTACCTCGGACTGGGCAATGATCACCCAGGCTCCTTCCTGAAACCCCAGTGCTGACAAGGATAACCCACCAGTCATGCTGTAGAGGGAGTGCAGAAGGCTATTAGGGCATTTTCTAAACCCAAGTAGGAGGAAGAGGAGATCCTGAGACTGGAGGATGTACAGGGATTTTGAACTTCCAACTCAACCCAATAAGGGGACAGGGAAAAGAGATCAGAAAGACATACTGGTAGGCACACAGACTGGACAAAGACAAGGCAGTACAAGAGGGAGTGGTGAAGAGCTAGGCAGACCCACAGGCCTGGGGATATCCTGTTGTCTATCCTCTCCCCAGCAGGGAGGGAGGCAGAGGCAAGAGGCCGGACACCCACATGCTGAGCACAGGCTCCAGAACACAGACTTGTTAGCAGCAGATGGCTCCAGGTACCAGAGGCTCTTAGCCAAAGCCACAACCTGCCAGGGCTCGCCAGGACTGCTCTTCACAAGCTGCAGCTGCCCCGCCTGGCCACCCTCATCCTACCTAATTCCCATGGCACCTTCCCACCCCAAAGAGAAATCACAGGGCAGCTTTAGTGGCCAGGAATGGGTGTGTGAGACCCTATAATCTAACCCCCATGCCTCCTCTTCTTTTGCCCCAGAAGCTCAAAGCAGATGAGAGTGGGGAGGCTGAGGGACTGTGTTGGGCCGCTGACTGCCCCCAGGGCTTTGCTCACCAGCTCCCTGCCTGGGTGCCCTCCCCACTCTGTAGGAACCTGTGTAAAGGCTTCCTTGTGGTCATACCATCTTGGAAGACACCCTGCTTTCATTCCTCAGCCCTGGTTGAGAGGTCCCAAGGGTCTCTCTCCCACATCCCCTGCCTGGAAATGTGTAGCAGTGCCCCTGGTTCTGCTCACACCTCGCCCTGGGCAGGGGCTGGTATGTGGTCAGTCCCTCATTAATGCTCTGAAAATCCAACAGGGTATAATGGGGGAGTGAGTGGCAGTGAACACATCTTGGGAACTCATAGTGGCACCCATGGACTCTGGTGGGGGGGTCATGATCAGACCCATGCCTGTGACTTACAATGGTAATAAAACTGGCAAGGTGACAAGTGAACAGGAAGGACAGGGCTCAAAGAACTTGAACTCTTCCTAGAACTTGAGCCCTTCTCTCAACTGGGACAGTCAAAAGGTCAGAAGGCAGGTACTTAACAAAGCCGGTGAGACTGTGAAAGCAGGGGATAACACAAAGGGGAAGGAAGGGGAGAGATGARCCCTGACCCAGAATCTCACCAAAACTCTGAGATAGAAACTAAGCAGCAAAAGCAATAAAGTTGAAGGGGGCATCATGAGTGTCCAGCCCTGTTTTCAGAGATCACAGAGCCCAGGTGGCTGAAACCACTATGATGCCCTGCAGAACTGTGTTGGGATGGAGGTAACACCTCACCAAGGTCCTGGCTGGGCGTGGTCATCACAGCACTGTGATGCCATGGTATAGCCAAATAGAATCCAAATTCCYAGAAGACATCAGGTGGTAAACTGCCCAGCCAGGTCAACATGGGGCACAGGCCAACCCCTGGTTATGGTACAGATATCATGGATTTACAACTTAACAGGTTATCACACCAAAGGGCAGGTGTAGAGGGGTCTAGGATAGTCATCATGGGGTGTGACAATGCAAAAGTCAGAGGCTAACTCCCAGGCACAAGCATTCCAGGCATGGAACCCCCCAGGAGACACCAAAGGAACATAACATAACTTCCAACACAAGTACTGGGGCATCTCCCTGGTACAAATATGAAGCTGAACATGACACACACTACAAGGTACTAACGCACATCAGTTATCATGGGATGCAACTCCCTAGTACAATGATCAGAAAAGTTTAATCCCCTGTAGCTAGCTGGAGCTGCTTTAGTGGAGCACTCACAGCACTGTATTCCCAGATGCAGACATCATGGAAGTAGCCATCTGGTAGAGACATCATGTGGGTACATGCAGAGAGTACAGACACGTTAAGATGTAACTGCCAGATACGGGCATTGCAGGGGTGTGACTCCCTGTTAAAGACACCATGGTGGTGGGTCATCCCCTAGCACCTATATTAGAGGGGCATGAGGCTCCACCAGTGCAGCCATCATGGAGTACTATTCACAGAACAGACACTGATGTGGTATAATCTTGGGTGAGAGTCAGGCCATGGGTGTTAGAGAACCTGAGCCTCTGGTAGCTCCATCCCCAATGTGAAAAGACAAGTGGCCCTCACTTGGGGTCTCAGAGACCCTCTGTGTATCTAAACTGGGTGCTCAGAACTCTTTGTTCAAATTCCCAAAGTGGAATTGGCAAAGGTGGGGAAATTGAAATCAAAGATGTTTCCTCCCCAGAGAGCTTCTCCCAGGGGTCCATGAACACCCAGAGAGATGGCGAGACCCAAGGGACACACAAAACATGTACACATTCTCAGAGTTGTCAGAACTAAGGCCTCCCGGTCAGCAGTTCCCAGCATGAGCAAACTGCTTCTGCCCCCAGACTCTGACCGAGAGCCTGAACCCAGTGTGAAGCAACTCAGGCTGCTCCCAGCTCTAGGACCTCCTTCATCAGAGCAGAGCAGCCCTACACCCCCAGGCCTGGCCTTGGGCTTGACTCTGCCTCTACACCAGTCTCAGGGTTACCTGCAGGGAGAAGGTGGGAGAGTGGGTAGGCAGGACTGCTGGTAGCTTTGCTGGGTCATCGAGAACCTCATGTGCTCAGAGCAGGGTGTCTACTTCACCAGCACAGCTTTCAACGACTCAGATAAAAACGAGGCCCAAACCCTTGGGCACTCAAGCTCATCTGTGAACTGCACTGTGGACCATCAGTTCTACCACACTGACATACTTGGGCAGGAAAACAATTACATGCCCTGTGATATTATAGAATATAATTGGATGCAATTTTTCTACATTCAGAATGGTTTTAATATATCTTTTTTCTTTGCTACATCAGTGTAAAGCTGCCAACTGCCCTTTCTTAGGAAGAACTGTCCTTTATTCTCAAATTTTGTCCTTGGTGCTAAAATGTCCTTTCTTATATGAAATGATGGGGATAGCAGATAGCAATTGTTGTTTTTTTTTTTTTTTTTTGTAATGTCCTTACTTAGCAAAATAAAAAATTGCTAACCAATTTGGTTGTCTGGCCCTCAAGTACTTTTGGAAACTGTACTGGTTTATGAAACCAAAGAACCTGGGAATTGCAGCTCTGAGGGAAAAGGAGGAAGGAGATACTATGCCAAACCACAGACTCAGACAAACGTCACGGAAAATGCATGTTACACAGAGGCCATGTCACTTCCATGTGGTCCACCCTAACATCCCACCCTGCCAGCCCCTGAGGGGGCCTGAGGGACCATGTGATGCCAAGATGGAGGGGTTCCTGGCTGGAGAACAGCTGGGATCATTCCTGAGGCCCCCTCATGAATATGCACATACAGATTGATTTGCTTCCCTTGGGCACGTGTTATTATTCACAAATATTAATTAGTCTCCAAATACCACCTGTTCGTAAGTCCTCTCCCACCCCTCCTTCCCAGGCCGGGACCCTGGGTTCCAGGAAGCTGGGGCAAAGAAGGGGTATCCAGGGCCTCACACAGTGGCCAGCCAAGGGGAGAGGCCAGCACGTGGGCAATGAGGCATACTCATTGGGCAGGGAGAGCTGGGAGCCGTTCATCTTCTAACCAGTGACGGGCAGCTAACCGAGCCCTTTTGTCATGTCCTGGACAGTTCACCGCGTGGCACTGCAGCAGCGGCCACGGAGGCGGAAACAGGCCTGTTACACTTGGGAAAGGAAAACCAACATGTTTCCAACTCTTACCAAACCAACCACTGGATTATGACAGGAATAAATCTCTGCCTTAGTCATGACCCGACCCCTGCCCCACGGAAGGAGGTGAACAGCAGGCGGAGGCCAGGACTGCCTTCACTCCTATAGTCAATGGTGGCCAGAGTCTTTGAGTATAGCCAGGAACAGTCCCTGCCCTGTTAGAACTGGGGCTCCCCTGGCTTCACTGAAGACTCCTGTCTTCTTGAGGCCCTCAGCTTGTCTCCTGCACCCTCAGCTACTCTGGGGAGTGAAAGGAGTGATTAGGAGGAGGAGCTGAATCTCTGAGGTGGCAAAGGGGTCCAACAGAGGCACCTTCCTACAGTTACTGCTCCTTTCCTCTGGGGAACCCCTGGATTAATGCTCACCAACTCTGCTGCCTCCAGGCCTCTGTGCTTACTGTTCTTTATTGGAAAAGACGCCCTTCTGCCCTAGCCACTCACTCACCCTCCAGAACTCAGCTCAAGTGAACCATCATTGTACATTCTCCCCAACTGATCCCCCCGGTTTTCCAGGTTTGTAAACATAGTGAATACACCAAGAAGTCTAGACCAGTGGTTCTCAATCCAGGGTGACTCTGGCCCCACAAGACATTAGGCAATGTCTGGAGATATTTTTATTGTCAAGACTAAGGGTGTGGGGGTGATGGGGTTGTGGCTTATTTGGTAGAGTACTTGCCTTGCACGTGTGAGGAACTGGGTTCAATCCTCAGCATCACATAAAAATAAATAAAATAAAGATATTGTGTCCATCTACAACTAAAAAAAATATTAAAAAAAAAAAAAAGAAGACTAAGGGTGGGCTGGGCACCGTGGCTCACACCTATAATCCTAACAGGGAGATTGAAGCAGGAGGATTAAGAGTTCAAAGCCAGCCCCAGCAACTCAGCAAGGCCCTCAACAACTCAGTGAGCCCCTGTCTCTAGATGAAATATTTTTTTTAAAAGGGCTGGGGATGTGACTCAGAGGTTAAGTGCCCTTGGGTTCAATCCCTGCATTAAAAAAAAAAAAAAAAAAAAAAACACACTCAGAGTGGGGGTATGTGGTATGTTACTTGCATTTAACAGGAAAAAACCAGTGTGCTGCTAGACATCCTACAATGGCAGGCTAGCCCCACAACTAAGAATTATTTGGTTCAAAATGTCAACAATGCTGAGGGTTGAGAAATCCTGATATGGATGGCAAACTCCTTTGCTGATTCAGCCTAGGGCCTGACTGGCCCCTGTCTCAGAACCCAGTTCCCTAAGAATATCCCCCACCAAGCTGTAGACCCAAGGYAGCCCTAACCTGGCTTAACTCTTGTATTAGCTGATTCTTGGGCCCCAGGATCTCAAATCAGCTTTCCTTACTACCAAAAGAGCTAAGACCTCTAAAATTCAAGCCCTCCAGCTCACCCATCTCCTCTTTTCCCAGATATGCCACCAGCAAGTGTCCTCTCTAAAGGACAGATGGCTCCCCTTTCAAATACTTCTTCTGGTGACACTGTGCTTTCAGTCAGGTTGGATTTTCTAGGCAGGTCTCATCATTTAAGGATGGGCAGGTACAGTACCCCTATTTCTACTCTCCCCATTTGACCATGCCCATCTCACCAAGCAAGTATACCCAAGAAGTGCTCATTTCTTCCCCTACCTGGGCCAGACCCATCTCTTCCATGCCCTTTTTGTTCAGCCATCCATCTAGAACTGTTTGTTGGGCAGGGTCATGATCAAGAGGCATAGGCTCTGCCTTCAGAGAACTGTTGGAGGGTGAACTAGCCCACCAAGCCCTGGGTTCAGGAGAGTCAACCAGAACTCACCCTCCCTCAATCCTCTTCCTCCTCCAAGGCCCCCAATATCACAGCAACACTTTCATCTACCTGGTCACCCAGGCCAGTGAGTCCTTCCCAAATGCTCCTTTTCTTCAACCTACATATTCAACTTGCCAATAAGTCTGAATCTGCCCTGCTCTATCCCAATTACCTCCCACCTCTTCAGTGGGCTTCAAGCCTCTGGCCTCTGGTCACTCCTTTCCAACCCAATCAACACACAAACCAATGCTACCTTTTAGCTCACATAAATGCAAATTTGATGATGTCCATCATGTGTACTTTGTTTTATGCTTTATCTTCTGGCAGGCACTCATTGTTCCATGAATGAATGAATGAATGGGTTGTCAAATAGATAGATGAATGTATGGATATTGCATCTCTGCTTAAGAACTTTCAATGCCTCCATGCCACCCTCCAGAAAAAGTCTAGTCTTTAGCCTGATATCCAAGGCCCATCATCTGACTCCAGACTAACTGTCCAACCTCATTCCCTACAACTCCAGCCCACCCTCTCTGTTTCTCACAGAATGAAAGAAGTAGAATGAAAGAAAGACACAAGGAGAGACATGCCCCAGATCTTACACTGGGTGCCCTGCTCCTTCGGATACAACCTCCAGGTGACAGACAGTCTTCTCTACAGAAACACGGTGAACAAAGCAGCAGATAGATACTAGTGTTAAGTCCCAGGACGACACCCAGAAGTCTATTTYACACCTACAGCAGGTGATGAGTTATATATCATTCCCCACCCACCTCCATCATCTACTCTAGCCAGAAGCTCCTTGACACCTCCCCTCCCTCATGCCCCACATTCAGTACTTCATCATGTCCTGTCTACCTAAAGAACATACAAATCCCTTCTTCCTGGTCCAGGTCTCCATATTTCTCAGACACATGCACAATGGATCACATTATGTCTCTCTGAACATCTTTCCATGGCCTTGCATCAAATTCCAAGCTGCTAAATTGGCCCACAGGACCCCTCTGTACCCCTGCTTCTGGACCCATCTTAGGGTACACTCACCAGGTCTTTGCTTGCTCACACCAGTCACTCTTGCTGGACAATCAGCACTGAGGGCAGGGCACAGGGGCCTCCGCACCTTCCTGGACAGAAAGGATAAGAAAACATCAAGAATTTCATCACAGCAGAGCATGTATTGACACAGACATTCAAAATTTGCTTTTTTATGCAGGGGGAAGAGTAGGTTACAGAACCACTGGTGTAGGACCATCCCATGTAGTAAAAAGTGCTCATCTTTTCACTTCACTGTCTCTCGTTCACTTGATACTCCCTGAGCATCTACTATGTGCCAGGCATTCTTCTACATGTCTGTAAGCGACACRGATAAGTCCCTGGCCTTGACAGAATTATGTCCAATTTCTTCAACATGATCCTAGGGCTGCATAGTCACCGGCTGACTTCTGCAGTCTCACCTACCAGTGCTCACCTCCCACCAGCTAGCCACAAACTTTCTCTTCTGATCCTCAAATATACCATATTTTTTCCTGTCTCACAGGCTTGCCCAGCTACATGCCACTGCCTGAAGTGAGCCACCCATGGTTCTTCTGGCCAGTTACCCCTTGGGTTTTAAATCCAATGGTACCAGGAATGGGGATGTGGCTCAAGCAGTAGCGCGCTCGCCTGGCATGTGTGCGGCCCGGGTTCGATCCTCAGCACCACATWCAAACAAAGATGTTGTGTCTGCAGAAAACTAAAAAATAAATATTAAAAAATTCTCTCTCTCTCTCTCTCACCTCTCTCTAAAAATAAATAAATAAGTAAATAAATCCAATGGTACCTCCTCAGAGAAGCCTTCCATGATGTCCTAGACTACGTGCCTAGGCTTTGCCTTAGAACAATGACCACAAATATGATTATTTAACTACTTATACAATTACTGAGTCAATATCCTAAGCTCTGTAAGAGCATGAGCCATGGTGCCTGGCTTGGCTCCACATCCCCAGCATGCAGCAGGGAGCCTGGCACATAGTAGGTGCTTAGTCAACACATGTTGAATGAGTAGATGATTGCATGAATGAGTTCAGAGAAAATAGCCCAGCCTGGAGGAACACACCCCAGCTTACATGCCAGTCTTCAAAGAAGCTTCAGGAGCAATATTTATTTTTGACTTTCTGCTTCTCTATAATTTTTAAAATGAAGGTGTGCCCCTGGATGCCTCCTCCGCTGGCACACACACAGCAACAGAGCCCAGCCTCTTCCTTCTAGAACCATTACTGAGCTCTCACCAGCATGGGCACCATCCTGGGGATGGGCAGGGGTGGGTCACGCCCACATCTTCTCATTGCCACCTCACCACAGTTCAGCTATTGGGTTCCTTAGGTATGCACTCCACACAGGCTGCACCTTGTAGCAGGCTTCTCAGCCTCACACCTCTACTCACACAACCCTGCYATCCACCTCGGCTCCTCCCAAAATGAATATACAGGAAACACAGTGGTCATGGGGGCCAGGGACAACCTCCTAACTCCAGACTAACCCTCACCACCCACCCAAGGACCTCCTCACATGGAAAYTGTCCCCACCTCTGGCAAAACAGGGGAGTCTTCTTTGGCCAAAGGCCATCCTGACTGACTCAAAACAGGCCTCACCAACCCAGCCTCCAAAGACCAATGGCCCTGCACTCCTGGATGCCCTCATGCTGCCCTCCCCCAGCCCATTGTATTTCTCCACATTTCCAGTGGCTGCTGTTCCCAGCACACAGGCTGCCAGGCGGGTCTAGCCAGACAAACCAGCTTCCATGTCCCAAACTCAAAGGCCCGTTTGTCTGGAGATGCCTGCCAGGCCTCATGATGCCTGATGTGAACTTGTTGGCTTTGCCATTTCTCAGGAAACCTGGGCAGAGGGGCAGTGTCCAAGGCAGAGAACATGGAAGTCTCCCAAGCTACCCAAGACTGCTGCCACACCCTCTGCCACATCAGGAACACTGGGATTTGGGCTTAGAGACTGAGAAAGGCCCTGYGTGGAGGAAAGAGGCATGCACCCCAAATGACCAGGAGGTGAGTCTCAGAACAGACTAAATGTATACAGGATCCTGACCTTGTAAAACCCCTCAGGTACACAGAATAGCACCAGGGAAGGACTCTAGACAACCCAGTATCTTGAAACATATCAACCWAAGATCAAACAGCTCTGAAACAACCTAAATGGGCAATCAATTTGCACCTCATAATCACCAACAGCAGCTCCCAGAAAAGCTTTAGACCCACACTGGGTCAGAACCCTGAAATAAGGACAAGCACATTCAGAAGAGCGCCTATATGGACTAGAAGGCCAACTAGAAAGCTACTACAAAGGGGCCTAATTTCTACAGGACCCAAGTTAGGATCACACATGCTGGCACCCAGAGCTAGGGTTTAACTGGTAGCCATGACCAAAATCAGGTAAGATGGCCCTGGGCACCAACTCAGCCATTTGTGAGGCATGAGACCTGGCCCAGCAGGGGGACCAGGAGCACGTTGAAATCTAGAACACAGATGTTGCTTGGAGCAGACCCCAGGCAGCCCCTGGGGCTGCACCAGGAAAGTCCCCAGAAACAGCAGCTAAAACACAGCCAAGAAGCTAAAAGCAGAGTTCTCAGACTCAGAGGTTGAGAATACAGAGATCTGGCGCATCTGGATCTTGGAGGCAAAGTGAGGAAGAAAGAACATCAGGAGATGCCCAGGAAAGGTGGGAGGAAATGGGGAACTAAACATCCAGAGGCTGCCTCTTCTCAGAATTCCCTGCCACCCACCCACCCCAATGTGAGATCTTTTCTGCAGGGCTGCACCTTTAGCCTTCTCACAGCTGCCCACCTGAAGGTCAGACACACTTGAGAAACACATCAATGGTAATGAAGAYGAGAGACATGGGCAACCCCCTTGCTGATCCCAGTTCAGAAGGGAAGTTGTTAGGTGGGCAGGTGCCCTAACCTTTGCAGTGCATGTTTTTCATGGCAAGCCTGGCTGATGCTGATGGGAAGGGGGTCTGTACCACAATAACAACTGCTATCACTGCRCACCTCTACTCACTAGATGCCAGGCCTTGTTTTAAGCACTTGATGCATATTAACTTTAATCTTCCCATCAACCCTATGAGGCATGGAATCTTATTATACCCATTTGACAAATGAGGAAACTGGGTCAAAGACGTTAAGCAACTTGCTCAAGGTCACATCAAACTCCAGCAGTTCAAAACCAAAGTCAGAGCACTAAGCCACTGTTTGTGGCTGTCTTTGCTTGCTGAGCATGCCTCCTCATACTCTCATGTCACTCTTGGTTCTCCTCCACTGGCCCAGATTATTCTCCCAAACTGTACTCTCATACTCAACCCCCGTTTGAGTCTCCCCACCTCCAATGAACCCCAAGTACCCAAGGCAACATTCCAACCCTGAGCTCGTCATCCATCCCTGGAATCAGCCTTTCCTCCTCAGGTTCCTAGCTCGGAGGTTCAGAAGTTCCAGAGCCTTCAGAAAAGCCCCACCCAGCTACTCCCCGGAACCTGGACTCCCTCCTTTCCTTCACCCCCACACCCATAAATCATTCTTTTCTGACAAATGAAGCCCCATGCTACCACCCTATCCAGGCCACTGTCTCTCATTGACCTTACTACAACATCTTTCTCATTGGGCATCCTGTCTCCCATCCACTTTCTGTAGTCACAGCAACATCTTTCAGAAAAATTAATCTGACACAGCATGTTCTACACTGCTCACCTAAGCTTTAAACCTTTGGTGTCTTCCCTCTATTTTCAGAATAAAGTCACACATAGCTCACAGGGCATTCAAGACCCTCTGTGATCAGTTGTATCTCTGAATAACCCACAAGTGACATCTCTTGGTCTTAATTCATAGTTTTTTTTTCCTCCTACCTAGAGGTTCCCCTTCTCCCTTCTTCAACTGGCAAACTCCTATTCATCCCTTTAAACCCAATTCAGATTGCCTCTTCCCTGTCTCCTCTGGGTCACAACTCACTCTGACCTCTTCCCCACCTCATGCTGAATTCCGCCAACCTTCTAACCTCTGCTCAGAATTGCAGTTGCTGTAGGTGAGCAGATGCCTCAACCTCAGAGGCTCCTAAGGGGCAGGCTGTCTTTCCTACACAGCTGTTAGTCCCACAGGAAGCAAGACAACCTTGCTGAAATTTCCTAGTCCAATGCCTGGCACATGGTCTGCAATCAATAACAGGTTACTGAAATGCTTTTGCATTCCCAGAAAGTGATTGCCACTGCTGATGACACAATGACACACAGTTCCCTTGGCTTCCTGCAGCACCCATGGATGGGGACCAGCTTGGGCTGGATAAGCTGTTCCATTTTAGAGGGGTTTTAAACTGAGAAACAGGTCTCAAGCTGGAAGGTGGAAGGGATGTAGTATGTGTCACAACCTCTAGTGCAAGAGGTCTGGGTCCCACCTCTCCTTGGGTACTCTCAAAACTGGACTCCCACAGTTGGGACTGTTGGGAATAAGACTGGAAGGCTCACAAATCACCAGGGTCAGCATTTTGCTGCACATCAATGCAAATTCCAAGAAAAGACTTTTAACTAGTTTACCCTTGCTGTAGTCTGCTTCACCAGCACCCATATCCACCCTCCTCCTCCCTTTGGAAGCACCAGCCATCAGTGTACACAAGGCTAGAGAGAAGGAGGGGGGCCAGAAGCTACAAAGGAAGGAAAGGAATAAGGAATTACATTAAAACGATTTCCTTTTTAAAAGAAGGAAAAGGAAGATAAATTGGAAAAGGATATAAAACTATAAAGACATTTCATATGAGGTGGAAAATGAACAAGCAAAAATGTGCAAAAAGTGCATGTACTAAAAGGCACAACACTGTGTACACATGTACAGGTGGACTGAGTATGCAAGCACAGCAGAATTCTGAGCACTGGCTGGCATGAGGGCCCAAGCCTGCAAGAGTGAGGGCAAGAAGGCAAGTGAATGTGAAGTGTGCATGAGGGTGGGGGCAGGGCTAAGAGTGGAAGCAGAGGTTGGATGGAGAWTCGCCTGGGGTGTGTGGTCTAAGCCCAGGCAGAGAATGTAGGGGCTTATAAGGGAGTTATACCTGCTCCTTWTTGGAACCCTACACTCATTCATATATTCAGTTAAAAACAAGGATTTTCACACTCTCTAAAGCAAAAGTTAATAAAAAGCCAAACATGAAATTTCCTTAGAATTCTATCAGAACTCTCCTCCGTATCCCATCAGATTCCTAATGCCTCCCAAAGGATCCCTGTCCAGATCCCTCCAACTAGAACCACCACCCACATTCTTTTCCAGGCCTCCCACCCCTGCACTTGCCTGTATTCTCATGCCAGATCCAGCACCAGGTCACTCAAGGATCCTACCCTTTTCCCTTCAGAAGCCAAAGTGGAGCTTTTGTCACCATCATTCAGCAATCCAGTCTCTACCATCCTGTCCTGTTGTCCCCAAGAGGGAACCCAGAGAATCCCCTAGCACTTGCAGCCTCCTTCACATTTCACAGCTCAGGCAGGTACTGGTCCCAGCCCCCACCAGCTCCAACTCAGGGGCCCAGCGCTGGGGGGATTGAAATGGGGAGAAGGGCTTGCCCCTCCCCCTCCCAGGGGTGGAAGAACCAGAGGGGCAGCATTCCAGAGAAGTGGGGGAGGGTCTAGCAGAGGGGTACAGAGACACCAAGAGACCAGTGAGAGACATCAGGCAGAGACCCGGGGAGGGAGGCGGGGTGAGAAGGGGGGGGGTACGGACAGACCCTGGCAGAGAGAAAGAGGCCCAGAGAGAGAGAACACAGGGATCCCGGCAGAGAGAACAGGGAGACCATGGCAGAGAGAACAGAAAAAGAACAGGAAGACCCGGGCAGAGAGAACAGGGAGACCCAGAGTGAAAGGCAGATCCAGGGGAAAGAAGAGGAAGACACAGCGAGGGAGAACAGAGACCCAGGCAGAGAGAACCGGGAAAGAGAACGGACACCCGCAAAGGGAGAGACCCAGGAAGGGAGAAGGGAGATGGCTGGAGACCCTGGGACTGCAGGGGGTGAGACTGAGAGGCAGTGACACAGTAACTGAGACTAGGACGGTGGACACAGCGACTGGGGACCAGGCACACCGGGACGGGACAGGACGCGGGGCGGCGACTGAGTGAACTTTCGGAGCAGGTCCGAGTGGACACGTCCTCACGGGACAGGTCGCTCAGGGCCTCCGGGGCGGTGCATGGGGTGGGGGTGGGTACCACCAGCTGCGGCCCCTCCCCAGCCCGCGCTCGCGACCAAGGGGGGTGGGAGCTTCAAACTCGCGCCCGGCGCATCCCGGGACCGCACGTGCGCCGGGGCGGCAAGCGAGACTCGGACGCGTTGGCTGCGGATCCCCCGCCGACTGGGAGGGGGCGCCGGTGCGGCGGGGGCGGGGGCGCGGCCTGGACCCGCCCGGAGCTGGGGCTGGTGGGAGGCTGAGGGCCGCCCCCGGAGCGCGTCCGCGCTGGAGGGTGGGGGACCAGGCGGGACCAAGGAGGGGGAGCCAAACGCAAAAGGGAAACTTTGCACGGGNGCTGAGGGCCGCCCCCGGAGCGCGTCCGCGCTGGAGGGTGGGGGACCAGGCGGGACCAAGGAGGGGGAGCCAAACGCAAAAGGGAAACTTTGCACCGGGGGGGGGGGGCGCGGGCTGCGGCTCAGGTGCGGCGGGAGGGAGGGGGAGGGCGGAGAGCTCGCCAGCAGCCGCGGTGGGGGGCGCGTCTGCCGCGGGGTAAACGCGGGGAGGAGCCGCCAGGCTTGGGGGGGCTTAGCCGAGACTGCGGGCGCGGCAGGTGGGGGCGCGGCCCGGCCTCAGCGGCGCCCCCCAGCCCCCCGGGACTGCCTCCAGCTCCGCTGGGTGGACGTGGAGGGAGGGTGGGTTAGTGGGCAAGGAATGGGCGCGGAGGGGACTGGAGGGGGGCCCCCGGGGGTCACTCACCGCCTATCCAGGGGCCGTCGGTCCGCATGTCCCCCCCAAGCCGCTGAGGCCGCCGCTCCCGCTCCTCTGCTGCTGCCGCCGCCGCCACCACCTGGTTCTACTCCCGCCACCGCCGCCTGAGCTGGAGCCGGAGCCCGAGCCGGAGCCGGAGCTGGAGCCGGAGCCGCCGCCTCTGCCGCCGCCGCCAACACCACCGCTCCCGCCGCTCCCGCGCCAGCTCCAGTCTCGCGCCCGCGCCCGCGCCCCTGCCGTGCGCGCTCCCGGCACCGCCCCTCCCCTCGTGCACTCCAGCTCGAAGAGCCGCGGAGGAGCGGTGTAGGCCCGGGCGAGGCCACAACCCAACCCCAAGTCTAAATCGACCCAACACCAATATTGAACCTGAACCCCCCAAAACCCCCCAAATGAGCATGAACAAGCCAAAACTCAGATACTAAATCCAGATGCTTCTACTGGCTATCAAATCCTAATATGAACCTAATACTACTCTGGCACCCCATTTCTTCCCAGATCTGAACATAATACTGAACTCAGACCCACCCTTAAAACCCATTATTGAGTCCAGACTCCTAAATCTGCCCTAAAATTGGCACAGATATGGTCTGAGCCCCCATACTGTATTGACCCCAAATATCAATGGGGGGGGGGGTGACTGGGATTGAACACAGGAGCATACCACAACTGAGGTACTTCCCCTCCCCTATKTATTTATTGAGAGGGGTTCTCAATAAATTGCCCAAGCTGCCCAAGAAACTTCCTATCCTCCTGTCTCAGCCTCCTGAAGTAGCTGGGATTATAGGTATGCACCACTGTAGGGGWCTCTCAAATACTGAGTCTGACTCTGAATTCCTTTATTTCTTATTACTTTAAATTTATTACTTGCCCTAAATTTAAAAGTGATGCTGGTACCAACCCTGGACCTAAATGGACTCCAGTACCAACACTGAGCCTGCTGTCCCCAAAAGAACACTAACGTCCCATAGCTACCTTGCTCTAGACCCCAATACTCTTTTCTGAACCCCAAGACTTAAATGAAACTCTATTCCACTCCTAGGTTAACACCAATATACTTTTTTTCTTTTTTCTAAGCATTCTTTTTTTTAATGTTTATTTTATTTATTTGTTTTTTATGTGGTGCTGAGGATTGAACCCAGTGCTCACACATGCTAGGTAAGCACTCTACCACTGAGCCACAACCCCAACTCACCAACATACTTTCTAAATTGGGATTCTTAATTTCAATTCCCAAATTGAGATTTGACCTCACACCTTACCCATTTTTGCAAACGTTTAGAACCCTAACCTTACCCTCTTCCCATAATAGTCTTGGAAACCAAGAAAGGAAACTACACATGACCTTTTATCCCCACATTCACCCTCTCTTCTCTGATGTGATGTGAGCACTAACTGGAGGCTGGCCAACATCCCAGATATTTCCAAAAAAAAAAAAAAAAAAATCTAACTGGAAATTGGTCTCTGTATTTAAGACAATAATACCCTAAAAGATGATATAGACATTGGTGGAAGTTTCTGATTCCTCATTCCAAACTCTAATGCTGACCCGTAAATTTCTGGGCTATACAAGTAACCTAATTGAAGATTAGTCCAAGTCCTAATGCACATAGGGACTTTGTAAACTTCAAACCAAGAGCCAGCCTTGGCACCGAAGCCCCTGCCTTCAGACCTCTATCCCAGTCTGTGAGTTCATACTTGAGTTAGACAAAGCCACAGCATCTCTTTCCTGTCCCCCACTAACCCCAACCCTGCACCAGTTAAGCTTCACCAGGAAGGCTGGGGGAGATACCTCCACTCTGGAGTCAGGTGAAACCCTCTGTGAGGTTTCTGATCTTCTGTAGGATCTCTCTGATACCCCTGTGAGTTTGGAATCAGATTAAAAATAAGACAAAGTTTATAGATTTTTGAGGCATCTGGATTCTGGGATTCCAGTGTTAATATGCAAAATAAGTATTTAGGGGTCTGGGCTGAGGAATAAGTTTTAATTTTTACCTAAATTCACTGGCTGCTTTTGTCCTGGTCTTGGATTCAGAAACAGTGTTTGTGCGCCCCCTGGTGTGTGAGAAGGGGATGGGACCGGCTCCAGTAATTCTGGGCAAACAATTTGGCCCAGATGACAAACAGGTCAAAAATGAATACTCCCAGACTGTGGTTTTTCACCCACTGATAATTTTGGTGTGCTGTGGGGGAACTGTTGCAACTTTTATTCATATTTATGCTTTTTTTTTGCGTGTTTTCAGAACTTTGAGGGTTCTGTCACCCCACCACCCAGTTTTAAAAAAGTGTACATTTCAGATAATTATGCTTGTTCATGGCTGACTTCTCCCTGGCTTCACTGGCCCACACTCTCCTCACTGATTCCTTTCTCCAATTCCATTACCATCTCCTTTTCTGCACTGCTGCTGTATCCTATGCCTCTCCTTCTCCCACTCAGCCTCCTTTTCCTGGACCTCAACCACTATAACTACCCACTGATGACTCCCAAATCTCTACCTCCAGGTGGGCCTCTCTTTTGGGTTCCAGATCCATATAACAAAAGCTTTCTCAATACCACTGCCTGGATGTCTGTCAGGTAACAGAATTTACGTGTCTCCCTCCCCAGGTTCTACTCCCCTTCATCTCAGGCAAGGGCAGTCACTCAGTCATCAGGCTAGAAAGAAACCTTCTCTCAAGTAACCCTATCCAGTCAGTCAACAGTCTTGCAAAATTTGAGAAACAGAAAGACGATAGACCATGTGGCTCCAAGAGGTACACATGTAAACAGAGATAGAGTTTCTTTTTTTTTTTTAATTTTTTTTAGATGTTGATGAACCTTTGTTTTATTCACTTATTTATATGCGGTGCTGAGAATTGAACCCAGTGCCTCACACATGCTAGGCAAGTGCTCTGCCACTAAGCCACAACCTCAGCCCCAAGATAGAGTTTCTGACTTTTGTATTTGAGTTCATGCAAAACTAAACCGGTCAGAAACTCTCTTGAACATAATTATACAATGATGCTTCTTGAAACTTATTCTACTTCGAATGGGTTTTGGTACCTTGGGACCAACTCTAACTGTTTAGAACCATTACTTCCTCCTTCAGGAAGCCATCTTTAACCCCTGGGTTGGGTTAGGGACTTTCCCAACACAGCTCTAAACCCTGGGAAGCATCACCGTATGTATCTGTGACTGTCTCCTCTTCCTATAGACTGTGGGTTCCTTGCTGGCAGGAGGGACAAGTCGGCCTCATCGCTGCCATATCCCAGCAGCCAGGACAGGGGCTTGACACRAAATAGGTGCATGATACATATTTGTTAAGGGAATGAAAAGATAGATTCCCCCCTTCTGTGCTCAAGGAACCATCAAGATGAGGAAAGAGCACTGTGACTAAGCCTTAGAGAGCATCCACACTCCGTCTTTTTTAGGCCTGGAAGAGGGGTTTGATCTTCTGATCCATGTGCTTGCTAGCCTGGGCCTCCCTAGGTCTGAAGCTCTGACAACCCTGTCACTCTGCCCAACGCTACTGGCCCAAGTGAGCACAGCACTTGGCAGGTAGGTGGGTGGGACCCCTGCAATCCTGTGGCTTGAGTGGGCAGCCCCACTCACTGCTGTTCTAACCAACTCTTGCTTTGAGCCCCACAGGGGTTCTCAGAATCTCAAGCCATTGTTCCCTAGCCCCCTGCTGACCTATCTTTCAGTCCCCATGTGGCAAGGTGTATGTAAAAGCAGGGCAGAAGAACGCTTCTGAGTTTCCTGCTCAGATCTCAGCCTGTACTCGATGTGGAACTAGACAAACTCAAGGGACCGAGACCAGAGACTCAGGCCCTGAGGCCACATGAGAACCTCGGGTGGCTAAGCCTAGGAAAGCTTGATAGCTMATGAAGCAGTGGAGCCAGTGCTCCGTCCAGATTGCCAGACTCTGCTCACAGGGTCCATGTGGGGCTGCCCTGCTGCCCTGCTCATGGGCCTGGCGGGGAGGGATGTCCTTGTGCTCATCTGTGAAGGCCAAGCTGTGCCATGTGGTAGCTCTGTGTCTGCTGTGTTCCAGCCGCAGGGTGCAGGGTGAGGGGGGAGCCAGATGTCAGTTCCCACTCGCTGTTCACCCTTTGTCCAGGGTCTGGGCCCACTGGACACTCTTCTCAAACTCATGACGTCAGTACATTTCCTGACCGTCTTTAGTTGGCCTAAATCAAATTAATTTCAGCTTGATTCCCCACCCATCAGATCAGCAAGATTTCCACATCACTCACAGCTCCCCCTTCCCCTCCCTCAAAAACTCTAAGAGCTTGAGGGGTTTTCATAGCCTCAAGGAGGGTCACTCTGTGTTCCATGACCTTGCAGACAAGCCATCTTTAACCCCTGCGTTGAGCTAGGGACTTACCCACCCTGGCTCTAAACCCTGGGAGCACCACTGTATGTATCCGTGATTGTCTCCTCTTCCTATAGACTGTGGGTTCCTTGCTGGAAGGAGGGACAAGTATTGTTCAAGTCACTGCTGCTTTTGTAGACATCAGTCATCCCTGCCATGGGGTTTCTATCACTTGTCCCCGAGATGGACCTCCCTTGTCCAGCCTGTTCATTGGAAAAGGGACCCTCTACCCTCTCCATCCCAGGCGCATGCTCTCTCTCTCACTCACTTGCTCTCCAGTAGAATTTGTGATCCTCCTGCCTCAGTCTCCCCAGTCGCTGGGATTACAGGTGTGTGCCACTGTACTGGGCTCATCTCAGGCTTTTTTAAGGGAGCCTCTTCCATAGACCCCCAAAGTCATAGCCCTTATCCCTTGGCACTTTTGATCCACACACAGCCATTTTCCTGGCTGTTCACTTGTCCCCCTTCTCCATCTAGACAGTCAACTCCTTAGAACCCAGAGATGTCCTCCTTCAGCTGTCAGAAAGAGCTCAAACACACCAGACCACACAGACAATTTACCTTCCTAGCTATGGGGCGGAAGCAAAAAGGCCAAGGCCTTGGAACACAAAAGTCTGGCTAAAGCCTTTTATTCCCTCCTGATGAATCACTATGGGGMGGGGTGGGGGGGACAGGAGGGTTGAAGCTAGTTTCTCAAAAGAATTTGCTAACTTGCCGATGATGACCTCACCCACCTTGGGTTTCTCTGAGAAAACAGAAGCCTCCACAGCAGGATTCCCTTATATCCTCACTACCAAATCTGCAAAGCCACCCACACCTGCTCCTTCCTCCCTGGCTCCATCCTGGTTGCAAGGAGGATGGA